CAGGGTAATCTATATTCTATTTATTTTAATGGCGTCGGACGATTTACCCAATACTACCCAATACCACCCAATACCACACAAGCCAGGGTAATCTATATTCTATTTATTTTAATGGCGTCGGACGATTTACCCAATACTACCCAATACAACCCAATACCACCCAAGCCAGGGTAATCTATATTCTACTCATTTTAATCTGGTTTGTTTGTGCAATCCAAACACAGGTCCAAATTCAAAGATACATTACAGGAGATTAGACATAGAGCTGACAGTTCTCACTATAATAATTAAAAACTAGATAATGTAAAGGCAATTTGCTGAAAATTTCAGTCAAATTCATCCACTATGAAACTAGAATTTAGCGATTGAATTTTCGGCCTAGCCTCGATCATCATTACTAAAGTCGGTACGATAAAAAGCATAGTCTCGATTATCCACTTGATGATTTAATTAAGCAGCAAGTCTGGTCCTAATGCGGTAAATATCGCAGGCTAGCGATGACATCGAGAGTTGATTATGGTCTGGTTAAGTTAATTAATGTCTAATTAATAATGTAGATAGCATTTCAGGCCTCAGGAAAGGCCTGCTATAGGTAGATTTACCTCTTGCATAATGTATGTTTAAACAATTTAAGGCAATAAACCATTTACAACTTTAGATGCAAATATTGGTCTCGCCGATCGTCGATAGAAAAGAATGAAGTTTTGAAATTAGCTGTTGATGGCCATTGAACGATTGGTCGATTTTAGCATATTTTTGAAAGGTATCTCACCGATTTATACAAATGCAGAGGATTAGGAAAGGGGTTTACAAGAGATTTTCGCCCCAACCTTTGTAAACCTGTTTCCAAGTCATATGTGCAGTGCAGCATCAGAAATAAAACTGTTGATTTTATTTATTTCAATATAGGAAAGTCCATTATTAGAAAAACAGCTGACTTTAAGCGGTGGTCTGTACCGTACTCCTGGACGAATAAAGGTTGCATTTAAACTAAATCAATGTGGTTATGTACCCGGTGAATCAATTCCCATCCACGCCACGGTACAAAATGAAAGTAGTAAAACATTAAAAGGTTCAAGTGTATGTCTTAAACAAGTAAGTAGTTACTATTTATAGATCACTTAGGCATTTTGAGGGATTTTTTGCACGTGTATATTATCTTCACATGTGCTATGAGAGAGACAGAGAGAGAGAGAGAGAGAGAGAGATATGGTTTAACGTCCACTCGACACAAACTAGGTAATTTCGGGACTAACATATGGTTCAATTTTATTTCAATAATTCGCTTGCGCTTAGGGGTCTTTAGCAGTGGTAGGAAACTCGAGACCCAGGAGAAAACCCACGAGGGTGGACAGGCGTCCCTACTCCTTGTCACGTACAACCGGGGAATCGAAACCACGCCAGTTGACAGACCTTGTGATACAGCGCGCACGTGCTAATCATTCGGCCATCCAACCCCCATGTAACTATGGTTAGGGCACGTGATTGTTGACGAGATTGTAGGTTAGTTTAGGGTAAGAGTTAGGGCTAGTTTCAGGGTTAGGGTTTGGATTATCGCAAACCCTGTTTACATCTCATGGCCTTTGACCAAACTTGAAGTTGGCCTTATCAAATAGATGTACCCCTGGTGAACTTACTGGTCAATCAAATTACCTGTACTGATTTCCGAGCTTCGTTTTTTTTGGGCGAATTATTGATAATTTTAAACCCTAAGCGCACATCGGCCGCATAGGTAATCCGGCCCTGTCAGTTACATTTGATGCCATTTTGACACCCCATCAACACCGTAATATGTTTGCGATTATTTTCTAGGTTGTTAAATACCATGCAGAAAACAAAACAAAAGTAGCATGCGAAGTGATTACAAAGCTTTCCCGTGGACGAATAAAACCGGGTGGTGAAGAAGTATGGGAAGGTGAATCATTGATGGTACCCCAAGTACCGGTTTCCAGATTGCCTGCTTGTTCTTTTATTGAAATATTTTATGTAATTACGGTAAGGCAGTAATTTCGCATCTTATCATAAATTAAACATACATTATGCAAGAGCTAAATCTGTCTATTAAAGGTCTTTCTTTAGGCCTGAAGTGTTATATGAATTATTAAATAGACATTAATTAACAAAACAAGATAATAATCAACTCTCGATGGCATCGGTTACTCGAGGTATTAGCTAGATTAGAACGGTTCGCTATTTAAAAATTTAATTTAAAAATGGGAAAGCGAGACTAAGCCCTGAATATACCAGTGCTCTGGTTACCACTATGCACACATCTTTTCACAACTACAAACAGTGATAACTTGGCTCAGGATAAAGTAATTTGAATGAAATTTTCAGTAGTTTCTCTTTTTTTATCATCTATTTTTTAATTATTATAGCAAGAATTACCAACCCTTTATTAACTAATGTATCTTTAAACTATAACACATACTAATAATTACTTGTAATATGGATGGGAAATCTTCCTTTATTCTTTTCGTTGAATAAGCAGATTGGTTTCCCTCTGGTAGATTGGGTGGAGCTAAACCGTGCAATAACTAGACATTTTCAATGTTATTGCACTCTTTTGCTGGTTTACACTAGTTTTAGTAGAAATCATATAGAGAAGTGGGGTGGATTTTCTGTGCAATAACAACACGCATATTGAGCAGGTGTCAATGTTATAAGTCATTTATAGCACGCTTCATTCGCTAACAGGTTTAACACCCCGGTCTACGGCCTCTGTGGTTAAATATGTTAACTCATGAAAGGCCTCCCATTATTTAATTATTTTGGCGACATTTTGAAGCACAGTCACATCTTAGAGTTTATCGGATTGTCCGAGAGAAATACTACTGTGTACAGACCTTCAATAAATTTTATCTTAAAAAGATGAGTAGCGACTCCCCCCTCCCCCCCCCCAAAAAAAAAAACACCCTCACAATCTGATTAAAACACAGATCCTATTTCGTTTCGTTTTTTATAAATCAAAATTTCGTTTTACTTGTCTTTACTACACTAGGACCTGTAAGAGTTGTTAAATAACGTCAACGCTGATTGATTAATCAATATCTGACGTCATAGGGTCAAAAACCGCTCATGACCCCTGACGCGACCTCCCAGTACAACTGGCCAGATCTTCTGTATTTTAATCAGACTCACACCCTCAATAATCATCAAAAAGTTTAAGGAAAGAGTCAGAAACTATGGGAGATACTTTTAGCATACTTTAATGCCTTTGTTTTACAGTTTATAGCTCGCTAGCCTGGAGGTCGGGTGTTCGATCCCTGCATTGGCCGAGAAAGTTCATCCAGATTTTCCGGCGTGGTTCTCCCTTGTCAGTGATGCAGGACGGAGGGGCTGACAAGGAAAGCTGTCTAGTCGTTCGGATGGGACGAAAAACCGAGGTCCCTTGTACACATTGGCGTGCACGTAAAAGATCCCTTGGCAGTTGGAATTCGATATAAGAGTAGGCCGTAGTGCCGCTGTCCGGGCAAAATTTCCCTCATAGCACACTGTATGGCGTATGCCCGTCTTCATTAGCCCAGGTTAGGAGCAGAACAGTAGGACGTTAAACCCAATTTCATTTCATTTCATTTACAGTTTATAGTCGACGTGGGTTTTCTTAATTCATGCGTAGAACTGAGTAAGGATATTTTAATTGGGTCTGTTCCGCTACGTATCGGTGATGGACAAAGAGAATATGACCAACACAGCCACCCTTCTGGTACAAATGATGGTATCTTGCAGTCAAAACCAGGGAAATTAGAAAAGTCACCCACTACTTTATCCCGTCCTGTTACCCGTGAGTAGACTTTCTATTGTATGTTAGATTATATATTCAATAAAAGGCTTAATCTCGCTTTAACTCCGTAATCTTATCAAGCCCTTCAAGTAATACCTTGCATATTTCGGCACTAATTTCGATTGAGGATTTACCCAGCTTGAGAGCCTATCAGATACCTCGATCATCGCGAATACCAAGTCTCGCGCTTTCCAGCTAAAATATCTACCTGTGATAATCGAGTTGCAAAGTTCAGGGTTCGTTCAATGTCAAGGTTTCCGTGGAGGTCGCCATGTTTGATTTGAACGTGTTTGTGTCACAACCTCTGATTGGACGCTACAGTTCACGTGTCTGCAGTAAATGGACATAACGTATTTATAAGTTCGGAATTGTAGGGCAATCTAGCAACGTCCAGATGTTGCTTCAGAAACATGGTTAGATTATAATTCTCCCGTCAAAAGTCAAAACCTAGTACGTAACTCACATTTTTTATAAAAATTGAGTTAGGACCAAATTTGTAGTTACTAGGATATAGGCTTCCTGTTGTACTAGATATTCCAATCTTTTGATTTTGTAAGCAGTAACACCCATGACACAACCTAGCAACTTCCTTCATTTGCCTAGTATGCCACAGAAAAACCTAGTAACTCAATAGTCAAATCAATGGATAAGCTGCGGTTTAATATTCATTCATTACATTTTCCTTTGTTTTCTCAAAATAAGAAAAATGTGAGTTACTAGGTGTTGCCTTTTGACGGGAGAATTGCGGTTAGCAGCCTCGTATGTGGGATTTCTTATTACGCTAGTTGTTGAGTGCGTATGTAGCCTCCTGTCAAGAAATTAAAATTTGCTAAATCAAAAGTGTGCATAAAAGGCTAGGATCCCATTCTTAAACTGCTCGCGCGTGTCCGTCAAAATCTTTGGTGGCAAGGACTCATGTCATCGGGAATATTAATCCACATGGATGCAACTGCTGGCATGTTGAATTACCCTACACATTGAAACATGGTCGTCACCCAGGGCCGTCTGTCCTCCGCGGTTGTTTATGGGCGCTCTAGAGACTAAAGTTAATATTATATTTTAATAATTTCTGATGATAACTTTCTGATAATGTCTTATAACTGCTGTTACTACCCGCAAAAGAATAAATATACGACAACTCTTGTCGACTTAGCTGCTGTGGGCGTATGTAGGTCTATGTTTCGTCTTTATCTTTTTAGCACCACCATCCTATGATGAGGTTGTATTATCTGAAAAGCACACGCTGAACAAGTCGTGCCCTGACAATTAAAAAAGCCAGAATGAAAGATGTGTTTGATGTTATTGTCTACCTCGGGGTCTTGGTTTAGCTTGGTGCCTAGTTTAGCTTGGTGCCTAGTTTAGTTTGGTGCCTAGCTTTGCTTGGTGCCTGGTTTGGTTCGGTACCTTATACTTTTTTTTTTTATCTTAGTTTTGATATTTTTGCCAAACAGTGTTAGACAATATACAATACACTACATTTATTATAATATCACCATTATAATACCATTAATATTGTTAAAACAAATATATCATTAATATTGTTACAACTAATATCACTCCATTATTGTTACAGTAAATATCACCTTTATAATACCATTAATATTGTTACAGTTAATATTGAATGTTACAACAAATATCACCATTAATATTGAATGTTATAACTAATATCACCATTAATATTGAATGTTACAACTAATATCACCATTAATATTGTTACAACTAATATATCATTAATATTGTTACAACTAATATCACCATTAATATTGTTACAACTAATATATCATTAATATTGTTACAACTAATATCACCATTAATATTGAATGTTACAACTAATATCACCATTAATATTATAATATCATTAATACTGTTACAATTAATATCACCATTAATATTGTTACAACTAATATATCATTAATATTGATACAATTAATATCACCATTAATATTATAATATCACCTAGTAATTATTGCGTAAAGGTAAATATTCGTCATTCCTCCTTATTGAAATAAGACTACTTGCGTAAAGTTAAACATCGGCTACTTTCTAGATATGTAAACCTTCTCATTACATTTACAGAAGACCGACTTTATCGCCGGTGAAAACCCGTACTATACATGGACAATGGACCTTTAATAGAGCCTATATATATACATTGTATATTCTCCTCTAAATATATTTATAAAACATAAATTTATACAGATCGAATATGCTTGCAAATGTACTTTTAAAAGATCACCCCGATTTTAATTGTTGAACCGTTGAATAAAATATGTTTTTTGACAAAAGAAAATGGGGTTTTCATTATTTGTTTGTGGGGGGGGGGGGGGTAAGGCTTCCTATGCGTTGGCCGACAAAGTTCCCCGGAATTTTCCGGCGTGGACTCACCTTGTTATAGTGGGACAGGACAATTGGTGTGCACGTAAAAGAACCATTAACATAATTTGAAATAATATTAGGCAGTAGAACCACTGTCCGGGTAAAATTTCCCTCATGGCACACTGTATAATGGCGTATACCCTTCATCATTATCCCATTCGGCGCAGAACAGTAGGACGTTAAACCCCATTTCATTTCATTTTTTTCTTCCTTTTTTCTACGCCCGCATCCACCTAGGTAATATCTCAGCCAATTGTTTATATGTATGTCTTTAATTGGGTTTGCTGCAGACTCTCTGCAATTTAAATTAAAAACATTGATATGGATATACTACTTCTGAGTTTATTAACATGTAACGTTTCGATACACATACAGATATCGTTATCAAGAAAATAACGATATCTGTATTTCTATCGAAACGTCGCATGTTAATAAACTCAAAAGTGTTTTTAATTTGTAAAATCTTCTTCTACATGTATATGTCTTATAAGGATTACCTCTGCAATTTATCGATGAGATGAGATTAAGAAGTAGACCGAATAAAAACTATATCGATGCGCCTTGAGCAGTAACTTTAATGGATCTGTGCGCTATATAAGAACTCATTATTATTATTATTATTATTATTATTCCATGTCTGTTCGATTACTTTTTTGCCTGTTTGGTGGTTGTTGTTGTTATTTTTTTTTTTTTTTTGGGGGGGGGGGGGTAAGATTCAAGTGTCTAAAACTTCACGGTGCAACTTTTTCTGACAAGTTGTGGCTTTAAAGTGGAGTTGCTTCCCTTTAGTGAATTTTCGTTCGTAGTAATAATAACGACGCTTTCCTTTAGAATCAGAGGCAACTAGCAATTTTCAAGGGAGAGAGAGACAATAATTCGCTTGTGCGTAGTGTTCTTAAGCAGTGGGAAAAACCCGGAGGACCCGGAGAAAACCCATGAGGTTGGACAGGCGACCCTACTCCTTGTCATGTACAACCGTGCAATCGAAACCGCGCCAGTTGTCTCAATGACAAACCTTGTGATACATCGCGCACGTGCTAACCATTCGGCCATCCACCAACCCCCCCCCCCCCCCAATTTGCTAGGGAATGCTTGGATTTGAATGACTGGGTGAGCACGAAATATGGTAGTTTGTTAGAGGGGTTGGGATAAGCTCTCCTGATAAAATAAAATTCAACCTGATCGCTACCAAAATTCCGTGGAATGGTTGAAATAAAATGATCTTTTAGAGACATTTAGTAACTGGATAGTGTAATAAACTATAACACATACTTATAGAAGGACAATTACTGATTTATTTAGGCGACGGTTTGAAGAGTATATTAGGGTTAGGGTTGGGGGCCTTACCCCAGTATTCTCTCTTCGAAACGTCGTCTAAATAAAACAGTAAATGTCCTTCTATAAGTATGTGTTATAGTTTATTGAAATAGAATACTTATGAGTTAAATTGATTGGAGATCATTAGACACGAAAGTATAAAAAAGATTTTGAACTCAGTTGTGAGTATCAGATGTTAGTCTTATATATTGTTACAAACCTACAAAAATTAATTCAGCACACAGTTTATTTCCGTTCTTATTAAACAAATACATGTATATGTTAAAACATTGAGTATAATCTCAGAATATTTGATAGTCGATAATCAATCCCATAGTAATTCTCTTTCTTTAAGATACTTATAAATATGTCAAGTATCATGGACAGTAAATTATGCATCCACATTATTTTATTTTTCTTGAGAAGAGTAAAAAGACGTTTAAATCTAAAGTAGTCAACAATAAGATCCCTTGGCAGTTGAAATTCGAAGACTGATGATCGGAAACAAAGCTGATATAGTACAGGAACGCATACATATGTAACCATCGTCCGAAATGACCGACTCTTTCTCTAGCCAGTTTGTTCTCTGACATGTTGTGATGGGAGCCATGGTGGCTAAGTGGGTAAGACGCTGGCTCGCTAGCCTGGAGGTCACGTGTTCGATCCCCTGCATTGGCCGAGAAAGTTCATTGGGATTTTACGACATTGTTTCTCCTTGTCAGTGGTGCATGACGGAACGAAAAACAGAGGTCCCGTGTACACATTGGCGTGCACGTTAATGATCCCTTGACAGTTGGAATTCAATATAAGAGTAGGCCGTAGCGCCGCTATCCGAGCAAAATTCCACTCTTATGGCGTATGCCCGTCTTCATTAGTGTGAGCAGAACAGTAGGACGTTAAACCCCATTTCATTTGATATTGTGATGTTTGGTTTTTAGAGTATAATACTCAGAACGATAAGGTCTGCTTTTTGTTAGTGAAAAGTCTGACGTTTCGAAATAACGAAACCACATGTTAGACCAGAAAAAAAACTCGCATTGCGTTGAAAAGATTTTAACCCTCAATTTCATTCCACGTTAAAGGGTGTATGGCTCTATTTTTTGGAACCCTAAATGGTTCTAAAAGCACATATTAATGTAATATGAATGTATGTAAAGTAATTTATATTCAATTTGTTTTAAAAACACATTGTAATTTCTAATCGATTATGTTCGGTGAAATACGTGAACAGTCCAAACTGAACGACAAATCGTTTACGCCTAATCAGCCCATTCTTGGCGTTTTTTTTTTTATATTATTATTATTATTTTATCATTTGTGAATCAACCATTACTATTTACTGTCGCCTTGTAATTTAGGATATGTATTTCTTTGTTAATTGATTTTGTGCCCGAAACGATATGGTACACGACTCGTGTGTCATATTTTAAAACGTATATTGTGTCTTAAATATTGGATATAGGACCCCACATTTCCACGGCCATATAACAACATCGATATGGATTGAAATGGACCAATATTGAATTCTAATTCGTGTTTTTAATTTCGAATATTATGGAAAATATTGAGTTAAAGACTTAGCTCTTTTAAATTAATTTTTGGTTTTGCTCGGCCAGTTTTGAACATGACCCTTATTTTGTTTTGGGTTTATATATTGTTCTCTTTTTTTAGATGGTCGGTGGGGCGGGGGTCTATTGGGGGGGGGGGGGGGTCTTTTCCTCTTTTCCATTGGGGGGGGGGGGGGGGTCGGGGGGTGGGCGTGGCGCTTTTAGCGCTTTTAATACGGTTAAAAGATTATTTCAGGCTATTTTTTTAATTGACTAACCCCGACTGTTTTAACGAGAATCAACTCAGCGGTCAAAATGAAGAAGTCGATTAGGCTACATGGAAACTATACAATCGCCATTAAAGGGACAATAACACTCTTGCTGGCTTGAAAGCTCCAGAAAATAAATAATATCTCTATCTAAGTACTAGATGTTTAAGTGTCCTACCTGTTGTGTAAATTATCCATTACATCCTATTTTACTTGTCCAGAGGGTTCGGAAATATTTTTAAATCGAAGTTTCATTTGAAAATGTTTACGTTAGACGTTTCCAAACCATTATGTTGGAGTTTTCAAATTTTTTAAATAAGGTGTGTTAAGATGAAATTTGTATCATCAATTAATTGGAATACTGTAAAATAGTACAATTTGTTGACCAGCTAATAAAGATTGGGACATATTATTCATTTACAACAAGAGTGGCATTGAGCCTTTAACAAACAGAAACTTAATGATCTGTAATGATAATCGTCAAAATAAACAAGTATTAATTACTTTAACCGTTGATTTTACCGTTAGTCAAGACCGCGATCAAGTTGTTTACACCTGCTGTTGTCAGGACGACACGTCTTCGTCACGTGACAGCAACGGAAAGGTAACGGTGATTAGTTTCGGTAGTAAAAAGGACTGGCGCGTGCTGTGATAGCTACTTTGTATCGAGTTGCCTTTCAACGGGATTCAAGAACGAGAAATTAACTAAACAGAATGCATAGATCATATAATTCAAATTCTCCCGACATCCAATCGACTTTTACAACAAAAATGGGATGAATACGTATTATAACGAAACACAGACGAAAGGTAAGACATTTTAATAACAATAATATGACTTGCTGTTCATATCTAATATCAGTAGTCTTGTATGTCTTGTCTTTGTCACGGTGTCACGCTTGAATTGTTACATTAGTAAATCAATTTTGATCGCTAATCCATGAATAAATTTAATTTCATCAACACGAAACATAACTGTGATGAGACGCATTTCTTTATTAAAAATCGGTCGTCTTTTTAAACAAGAAATTTACTTGTGTGCCTTGTCTATTTGTGAAGGTGACACAGTTGAATTGTTACATTATATAGTAAATCAATTATGTTCGCTATAATCCATGACAAAATTTAATTTCATCAACACGAAACAGAAATTTGATGAGGCATATTTCTTTATTAAAGACCGATCATCTTTTTAAACAAGAAATTTACCTATTTTTTTCCTAAACAATTTTTTTTCTGCCAATTAACCTGAGCTATAGATAAACAATAATATAAAGAGAATATGAGTATGTACAGAGGGAGGGGGGTCGGTATGAGTGAACAAGAGTGATCGCTGATGCAAGGAACACAACAAATATATTAATTCATAAAACCAATTATTAGACTATAAAACTGGATGATGGGGATCCATAAATATCCATAATTTGATAATGTGAAAATCAAGAAGCTATGGACTAAGTTTTATGTCTGGTCTATAATAATAGCAGAACAGTAGGACGTTAAACTCCATTTCATTTCAAAAGTCTTCCAGATATGTTTTGGGGTCAACGTGTTTGTAATCAGTAATTTATATTAGTTAGATGGTAAATATATTTAATGGTTTGTTTTTCATGGGTATCAATATTAATATTTGGTAAGTTTTTTATTCAATAAATTATATACAATATTTGATATTCAATGGATTATATACAATATTTGATATTCCATGGATTATATACCATAGTTGATATTCCATGGATTATATACCATAGTTGATATTCCATGGATTATATACCATAGTTGATATTCCATGGATTATATACCATAGTTGATATTCCATGGATCATATTCCACAGTTTATATTCCATGAATAATATTCCATACATCATATTCAATAGTTGGACCATATATCCCACGATTCATATTTGATTTTTGAGATTATAAGGATTAGATTCCATATTTTAAATCCCAGAAACTATATTCCCTAGGTGATATATAATATATATTTTATTATTTATATTCCATACTTAATATTCCATTGTTGATATCTCATAGATTATTATATTATTCCTGGTTAACAAGGTACTGAAATATCAGTTTGGTGTTTGGTTTCCCATTAACACATGTAGTGTTAATATATTGATCTTTATAAATAATAGGATTTCCCCCTTTTAATCCCTCTAAGAGATTTCGTTGTAGGTTTACTTGTAAATGTACCCCTAACCAAAGATGTTAAGATTTAATTGTATTTGATTGTTATTTTTGTTGCATATTCTGTATATATTCTGTCTACTATTTACATACCTGTATCATTTGCTTGATAAAGACGATAGTATCCTCGTCGAAACGTCGCTTAGTATTAAACTCAGTAATTGTGTATCTATAAAATTGTACCCTGTGTTAATATGTTCAATCGCTAAATGCCAATCAGAGAAGATATACATGCAGCTAAGAAGGTTGTTTTGTATTTTACAAATTTATGCCAAGGAATCTTTTACGTGCATGCCAATGTATACACGGGACCTCAGTTTTTTGTCCCATCCAATCGACTAGACAGCTGTCCTTGTCAGGCCCTCCTTCCTGCACCACTGACAAGAGGAAACCACATCGGAATATCCCGATGAACTAGAAATTACCCGATGTTTGTTTGAGAATGACCTTGTGTATTGATGATATATTAAGTCTTGCCTTTGATGTTATTGTCTTGTAATATTATCAGGAAATATTGTCGCTAGATCAACATGTTATTGATGTGGAACTGTGAACTAACGTTTATTGATCTTGGGATCTATTTACTGTACATTATCAATATACGTTATTCCCTGTCGTATATTCACACTAACTATTATTTTATGGTTTATAATTCTTTAATTCCCTCTGGCATTTTATAGTTCCACGCTACATTGAGTAGTCTATTTCATAATGCCCGTCTTCATTAACCCTGTCGGAGCAGAACAGTAGGACGTTAATACCCATTTCATTTCTATTTCATAAATAATTCTAGTTACCATGGCTAAATCTATTTCTTAAAGCCAGTCCAATTTTTGTCATGGTGGCTGAGATGTATGAAATTAGATAAATTATGTTTGAACTACTGCATGAAAGTTAGTCTAATATTGGGAATTGTGTGCCAGATGTTCATGTTTTGTTATGGAAATGGTCGGATATGTTTATGATTTTGCATGTTTGACATTTTGGGTAGCCACAAGTTTTGGTTTTAAGTGCTGATTGCATATTATTTGTTTCTATGGCGGTTAGTTCAGCCAGAGTGTTGTTTTTTACGTCGGAGATAGCGTTTGGAATATCCTCTTTCTCTTAGTTTGGTAAATACCAGCGTACATGCTGACTCAAAGTCGGACTTCTGAGTGCATATCCTATGAAAACGGAGAATCTGAGATTTTATGATGCCAGAGAATGTATGTTTTGGGTGAAAGGAGCTTTTGAACAATAACTGATGTATAACGGTTTCTTTGAAAAATACTTTTAGTTTCCAATTGGCCTGTGTTTTTGGTGTTGCTACTTTTAAAAACAGTAGTGTCAAGGAAATCTATGCTGTTAAGACTTACATTTGCGGGTAATTTGACATGTCCCGAGTTCACTAAGCATTCTCAGACTTAAGTTAAGAATTTACTCAAAATTGTATGTTTTATTTTAACTAAAATATAGCCCTTTATAAAACTTTTGTTGTGTTAATGTATCAAATACATCAATAAGAAACTATGTGCATAGTTTTGTGTTTCTGGATCAAAGATATTTCTTATAAACAGTGATTGAAAGTTGAGAGTAAATTCTTAATTTAAGTCTGAGAATGCTTTGTGAACTTGGGGCCAGATGGATGATGATTGTTGAGATCTTGTTTTGGTGGTAGACGATATTGTTAGGTATTCATACACTAGTTCTAATTAAAGATTGTACCTTTCAAATCACCTTCAAATGCCCCTTTAAACAATGTACAATGTTTTTTACCAACTTGAGGGTAATATATTTACAAGCTCAGCAGGAGACCTGGTGGTTAATAAACTATAAAAACCAGGTAAAAGAGATTAATCAAACAATAAATGTCAGGTGAACCTTTACAAACATTCCGTCAGATACTATCCAGGAGATGAACAACTTTTTTAGATGTGCATGTATGGTATAATATAATAATATGAACTAATTCTATACTTAAAATAGGGGGGTTGGATGGCCGAATGGTTAGCATGTACATGTATGGTATAATATAATAATATGAACTAATTCTATACTTAAAATAGGGGGGTTGGATGGCCGAATGGTTAGCATGTGCGCACTGTATCATAAGGCCCATCATTGAGTCAACTGGCGTGGTTTCGAATCCCAGGTTGTACGTGACAAGGAGTAGGGTCGCCTGTCCAACCTCATGGGTTTTCTTCGGGTCCTCCGGTTTCCTCCCACTGCTAAAGACCCCTACACGCAAGCGAATTATTGAAATAAAATTGAACCATTTGTTAGTCCCGAAATGACTTAGTTTGTGTCGAGTGGATGTTAAACTCCATCTCTCTCTCTATATATATTTAAAGTATGATATATGTGACCCGTGAAAGGCAAACTCAGTCAGAATACGCAAAATCTAATAACGAGCCACAGACAAAACAAGTGAAAATATTGATTTTGATCCAAATTGAGATTTTCACAAAGATATGGTTCTAGTAGAATCTGTATTAAGGAGCCACTCACAGGAATTTTCATGACTGACCGCTTAATAGGAATGACCTGTTGATAAAATCTCAGTGTTTGTTAGTGCTGACATCAATTAAATTTTATGCTTGGATGCATTTTGAGCAAACATCAACACTATCGGTAAACCGTGTGACATGTTGTATCAATATTGATACTACTGTCCACCATCGTGATGTATTCGATAATATTTATCCATTTTTTTTAGTAAAGAAAATCCTTGAATTAATTTTATTGTAAGAAAAAGGCGCATGTCCAAAAAAACATTGCTAAATATTTCACCAATTTTCAGGGGGTGTAACTCTGTATGTAATATAGAGGGTGCTAAAACTTCTGTTTAGCAACAAAGTGGCAATGGAAAATAGATACTAGATGATCGTGACAAAACTCGACTTTGTCAGTACTTATAGTTTATTCAATCATTATCAGATAATGTTTCTCGTTACGTGTGAAAACAAGGATCAACAGATCAGGGTTTGTCATTTACTAAAACAAGAGATTAATTAACAGATAATCCCGGGTTTATTGTTATTTGCACAGTTCTTTTTACCTGATTGGTTGGGACAAGATAATTAACTTTTAATCACGGGATTACAGGAGGTGCTACGAAGTACGACAAGATGGTATCATTCAACAATGGTCGTTGAATGGGCGATTTTGGAGCACCTATCCCCCACCCATCCCGTTCTGCTCCGAACTGGGCTAGTGAAGATGGGCATACGCCATACAGTGTGCTATGGGGGGAAATTTTGCCCGGACAGCGGCGCTATAGCCTACTCTTATATCGAGTACTGCCAAGGGATCTTTTACGTGCACGCCAATTTGTACAAGGGACCTTGGTTTTCCATCCCATCCGAATGGCTAGACAGCTGTCAGCTCCTTCCTGCACCACTGACATGGGAAAACCACGTCGGAAAATCTCAATCAACTTTCTTGGGCAATGCAGGGATCGAACACTCGACTTCAAGGCTAGTGAGCCACCGTGACCCCCCCCCACCCCCCACCCCCACCCCCACCATGGGTTCCTATGTATAACAGATCATTTAAAGAAGAGTTTTACCATGTTAAATATTAAATAAGATAACGTGAAGAACAACGTCTTTCTATTGATTGCTAACTGATATAAAACATCG